TCTGGGAGTCTAGCCAGATGTTGGAGAGTCTGGCACAGAGATTTCTGAATCAATCAGGCTCCACTATGTAGCAATCCGCTACAAGTGTGCTTCAAATTTTATTTTGAAAGTGGGCCATACGGTTCTGCTGGGCGTTAAAGGGTTAAACTATTATTTAATTGGTGGCCTTTTCAATCGCATATGCGTTATTTTTTACATTGACCTGTCAAAGAATCAAAACCACCCCTTCCCACCCCCACCCCCTCCATTATGAGATTAAAAACTGTTCACATAATCGGAAAACGTACCTTGTCTGTGTCTTAAATAACTGCGTGTGAGGAAATATCAGTTTGCTTTATGCTTAGCTGATAAAAAAAGAAACATTTGTGCGTTTGAAACTCACGGAGAGTGTGCATGGTTTAATTTAACAGATGGAAAGTTTGATGCCAACGGGTATTTTCAACATGCCTTTCGCATTCAATGATTTATTTTTAATTAGTGGAAGGAAGGCCTCTTAAATTACTGCCGAAAATGGCCAATTAATCTCGAGAAATCCCTTTTGTGGCATTGACACACGATTTCATCCTATACAAGACAAATTTTTATTTGTTTTGAAAAATGCACCCAACCGCACTCACACATGTCACACCGACGTGATGGGTTTTGGACGGTATCAGGCGAAGGGTGCATAGACACGTATTGAACATACTTCAACTGGCTAAAAAGCGCCTTCTGTTACGAGTCTAGCATCAATGGAGCGTATTTAGAAAGAGGACTGTACGGTCCTTTGGGACGTTAAAGTGTTAATAGATAGTTTGGCCTCAAAGCTTCAAATTTCGATATTCATCACTTGGCGTATTGAAAGATTTCTAGTGCATTGGGAATGGTCGTTTGATAATAAAGGCCGGACATGTCCCCTCAGGTCAAATTTTCTTCTCAATATTGAAATTGCACGATATATTTAGCATCTTGCATGATCATAGCATCGTGGAGCTGAGAGTGCTGTGTAATAAACCTTTTGGCTAAAAACCATCTTCTCCATATTCTCAAAGAGAAATGAGGAGGTAAGTCTATCGCACATCCCTAAATAAGAAACATTTGTGCGTTTGCAACTCACGGAGATTGTATGTAGTTTAATTAAACAAATGGAAAGTTTAATGCCAACGGATACTTTCAACATGCCTTTCCCATTCAATGATTTAATGATAGATCCAACTCCACATTTCTACTTAAAAAGACTTCTAGCTATGAATCATGGTGAAGATGGCTAACACAGATAACATATAAAGCTAAGGCTACTTTTTACATCTGCGTAAGTTTTTGCGGGAGTAAGAATCAAACTCGACTTGGCCCAGATGAAGAATTAATTAGTAAGTTGTACCTAAGGAGTGTTTATACGAGGTTAATTATTTGAATCATCGCAAGACATTTGGAATTGAACCAGAGCGAAAGAGTTCATTTAATGCAGTGATTAGAACGATGTTTATAAGTTTACATAAAAGTATTTACATTAGCATGCTAGTCGTCTATTATTTTGAAAAAAAGTATTTGGGGAGCAATTATTCGACTCATTGCATTGTGTCCTTGAAGTGTATTACATCCGATATTTAGGGTGAAGGGGTGCGCGATAGACTTACCTCCACGTGGTGCACCCTGGACAACGTATACACATACGGCAAAAGTCTATTATTCGGAATTTGACATCAATTTATTATGATTAGCTTGAAACAAAGCTATAAGAGAAATCGCCTTCTTCAGGGCGATTCACAACTTCTACGGAACCTTCAGTGGAATTTTACAGGACAAGAAGATCCAAATCCAGAAAATCCTACATACGTATGATATAGACATGTTCACAATCATGAAAGCCAACCTTACGGATGACAAACTGAAACACTACCAATTCCCAGGTTACACCTTATACCTTCTACCTAAATACCGGCAAGTTACAAGTGGAATTGTGATTAGAGTAAAAGAAGGCCTCACATCACATTACGATCTAATCAAGAGTATAGGCTCGACGCAAGACATATGCGAAATAATCAGATTAGATGTTTGAAAATGGGTGTCTATTCCGAACTCTCCTCTTTCTACTTAGCAGCGGGACACAATAGATCCGCTTTCGAAGGAGAGATAGAGGTCATTAGGATAGCACTATGCCAATTATGTTGCCTGGATACGAAATTCACCAAAGTGGTGATACTTTCGGACTCACAGTCAGCAATAAACTCAATTGGAAACAGAGAGCCACCCAAAACAGATGAGATAAAAGAATGTAGAAAACTCTATCAGCTGCTAAAAGAGAAAAACAAAACAGTGGTCCTTCAATGGATTCCTGGTCACTGTGGCATTAAAGGCAATGAGCTTGCTGACACACTTGCTAAGAAGGGGACAACGATTTTGCAATGCATGGACCGCCCGCTGTCTTTCCACACAATGAAGGCCTTAATCAGGAGAGAATTCCAGACCTCAAGGTGCAACGAACTTAAAGCTCGAACAAAGGAGAAACAGTGGACAGTGGTATTCTCCGACATAGCCGACTGGCCAAGAATCGAAGCCGTTGCTGAGTTTAGACTACGTACCGGACACGATTGCTTGGCAAAACACCTTCACAGATTGGGATTATACACTCAACCCACATGCCCTCTATGTAACCTCCATGAGGAAATGAAGAAGACCCACCTGATTCGATGTCCAGCCCTAAAGAAAACGACGGAAAGCCAGAGATACTGGGAAGCAAGAAGACAGCTAATGAATTGCTATTAATTAACTGCTATAAATGTACTCCCCACCCATGGGGGAAGTTGGAGTCAAAGTTTAAGGGTTAATGATTAATACCATAAAGCCTGCCATTTGAAATAATAATATTTAGGCTGAATTAATGGCAATGTTAGAGAAAGTGAAAGCATAACTTAAAAATTCGAAATCAATCCATTTCACAACTTCCAATTAGTGCAAATCCTCGATAAATTTAATTGCCTTTAGCCAGCGTATTTCATCTTGGAACTTGATGTCATGAATCAAAATAAACCACCTTCCAAGATAATGACCTTGAAATTATAACAACAAGACCTCAGTTCTACTTGGCAATAAAGTGGCGGAAAAAATACAACTCCAAGACGGGTATTTTCATTTATTTTTAAAGGGGACTTTTTTAAGCATTACTTTCTTAATTAACAATATCATTCACAGCTTACAAATCAAGGGTGTTTGTGATAGATAGTATTTAAATGTGCTGATCATTATTGATTAGTATTAAGTAAAGCGAATTGACATTCTCTTAGGAAGGCGAATAACTGTTTTGCCGCTTCCAATGTACGGATATTTGAATCATGTCAGGTCAGGGTCATGCGTTGGTTGGGACTTCCGAGGAAACATGTTCCACCTTGAGCAATCAATCAAGTTTTATTTTTTGATTGATAGTCGTTGGCTGATCAAAACAATGGACATATGTAGAAATAGTTACGACAATTTTGATCAGAATTGTTCTGCTTCACTCTCCCAGGGAATAATTCAAATGTTGCACAGTTCCATTTCATAACAAAAAAACAACAAATCCTAATAGGTGAGGTTCAAATATAAGAATAAAACCCGTTTACTGAGCTCTTGCTTAAACATTTAGAAGATAGATAGACAAAATTACACAAAGAAATAAGGGAAATCGCTGGAAAGATATAAGTTAACTTGGAATCTGTTCAAGAGGGAGAAATAAAGACTCTACACATGCCTTAAAAGGGGAATCATCACCTACGGGAAGGCCGAACGATTTTAACAGTGATCACTTCAGATCCCCGAATGACTTTAGGGACGTCGCTAACATCAAGAAGGTAAGCTGGGACTCCTTGCAAAGATACGATCCGATCTCCCACTTGGAAATACTTCTGAATAGATTCAAGATGCCTTAACTTAGCCAGACGACTGATATACAAACCAATCTCATCCTTTTCGTAACGAATTCCAAGTTCTTGAGTTGGAAACCTTCTAATGAATTGGATGATGAATGTGTCATGAGAGCATTCCTCCAACAACCTAGAGGTGATAAAAGCTTCCTCTCCTGAAATTTGAGGCTCCGCTTCTTTCATGTTTTCCAGCAGAATTTCGTTGTCGTCCGATCGAGTGCAAGATGACCTATCTATGCTCAAAGATCTACTTAGGTTTTGGAGTGTGCTCTTTATCCTCCGCTTTACTGACTCTTTCGACAGTTTATGGCCAGGAAGATACCCTCCATCAATTTTGCTCAGAGAGGCGGAAATTTGACATCGCGCTGATGAGGATGTCTGCGCAAAGGGTCCTATTTCCGGAAATTCTGAGGGGATAGAAGGTGTATTACTCTCAACTCTGCCAGTCCTTTTCTCCGTTTGAGTTACATATTCTATATCTCCGAGACCTCTGTCCGAAATCGCTGGACTCGATACAATACTCTGAGAAAAATTTGGAGCAGAAGCGAAACAACCTCTCGGTTGATTGTTAAATCCAAATGGAAAAATATGTTCAGGAGATCGTAGTGAGCTCGAACTTAACATTTCAAAAGATGACAAACGAGGTAGAAAATGGTAGCATAGTCTTGAATTCCGATTCCCTTTTGTTGGGGTTGAATTATAACTCATATTCGGCACCAAAAATAAGAGGTAGCTGACGGACGATCCTTACGCATGAAAAAATCACTTGACTAAACTTGCCTAAATGGATTGACCTTAAATAGTTTCAGTCTGTGCACACAACTGCGAGTGAACCAATCAAAATTTTGGAAAAGCTCATGGTGAAGGCAAGCTTTGACAGATGAGTGGTGCGAGTAATTGCAAAGTTAAACTTCCGAATCAAGACTGACCATTTAACAAGATCAATCAGGTAAACAAATTAACTACTTCCTAATCTGCGCTACAATTTGCATGAGCTTGTTGGTTATGTAATAGGTTTTGCTTTAATAAACACAATTGAAATCTACGAACGTGAATGCGCTTAGTGTTTATTAAAATGAATGATATTGATGTAATTACTGATGCCACCCGTATTTGATATTATTGGTTAATGTTCATTACCTTAAATTGTGGGACACATTACGCGTCGCTACTAGGACATGCGAAAGTATAACTTTCCGCGCAGACAACAGTACTACGAGTGACCAATCAGAAGCCGCCATAAATTGAAAACTTAGCAGCCAAGTTGAATATGACTAAGCTGCTTGTGTGTACACTTTTATCCACAATATACTTACTGAATAAACGTGTTCCATGCTATACGTCTGTTTCCCCTATAGCTGGACTACAGCTTATCTAGTTCTGGGAGTCTAGATAGATGTAGGATAATCTGCCACAGAGATTTCTGAGTCAGTCAGGCTTTACTAGTGTAGCAATTCGCTACAATATTCAGTCCATTTAAATCTACCTAGTAAACTGTAAATTACGCAGTGGTGTGATTGTAGTTATTTGGCTAATCTTCTATTATTGTCAATGGGAATGCTAAAAGAAAATTTAAAACATATGACATCATTGAATATAACTAAAAAGATTAGGTTCGAGGGGGGCGGGGCGGGGGGGAGGGGGCGGAGTGCAAGGGGTCACGAGGAGATATCGCATTTACACGTATTAGAAAAACTTGAGTTGTCCATATTCACAGTAGAAGTGTGGTTCTTTTGTGATGTCCAAATATTTCAATGCTATTAGTTGGTCTCAAAATTCATGCAGGTGAATATGTTCTCAATATCTATGGCAAACCGACGTGATCATTTATATCCATTGTTGCTGGTCTCACCTCGATTTATTTGCATCTTATTTATCCAATATAGTTGTCTTTTTTCCTGTAGGTGTCCACCAAAACTTACTTCTAAATGAAATTTGCACAGTTTACTTCAAACTCAAATGGACCTAAAAAATTTTATAATAATTTGCCAATCTGGAAAAGAATTTAAATACCTTTGACTTATGGCGATTTAAACAATGTTATCCTTATAGATTGACAAATAGTCCAACCAACTGATAAAGGGCCTGCGCAAACATAAACAACACAACGTCACGTTTATGGAATCATATCTTATATTTAGGCTTAACTGGACATACTCTTGTAAACAACAACCAAAAATGGAAAACTGGCTAACTTAAAACTCGAATAATAACTTGTTTCGACCCTTTCATGCCTAATTGGAAAATCCTGTTTTTGGCCATTCGAGAGCACTGATTTTCCCATGATGGGGTGTGCAATTGACTTACCTCCACGTGGTGCCCCTGGGCAACGTATACTCTTACGGCAAAAAGTCTATAAACTGGCAGTTGACTTCCGATTTCAAGCTACCATCACCCCACTGTATGTCATATTCGAGATCTACCACAGTACTCACCTCACCTTTTTTCGACCTTCGTCTTTGAAACGCTCTTCTGTCCCCCCCCCCTTCTCGACTATTTTCACTTTGATGTTCTATCCCCTCTGTGAGGCCTGAAATCAACCAAAGGACTAATGGTAACCATCAAAACGCCTGCCATTTGATATAAATAAATATTCCCATGGTAGAACTATGTTCTTAGACTCAAAACGTGCCTCAATCCCACAAGTATGTTCCCTATCAGGTTTCGCCTAATTAGTCTTCCTTCCATAAGAGACCTGCAATCTCAATAGGTGTGATGGTAAACCCACTGTTTAGACAATCCTGATTGGTCGAACACTTGATGCTATTTATCGCCTCTTAATTAATTACTGACTCCCTGATTCTCCTGTTTAAACTAGAAATCAACACTACTACGGCGCCTCCGTGATTAAAAGCTCGATTTTCACTTTCTGTTGGTATTCATGATACCCCACATCCACTTGCTCCATTAACGAGGTCATATTTATGACCACTAAATTAGTAAATTTGATTAAGTGAATCATTTTTATTGGTTATGCTAGATGCCAACTTTACCATAACCGCAGGGGCAATTGGCTATTAACGTCTTGAAGTCCCTCTATGGCCTGGAAATAAAATTACCTTCCGCATTATTTATTTCAAATGGCAGGCTTTATGATATCCATCATTAGCCCTTAAACACTTGACGCCCGTGATTGTCTCTACTAATTTGGCAATGTCCTTGATGAAGACATTGAAAAGAGTGCAGCTTGTGACAGCTCCCTGTGGAAGACCTGTTTGTACTACTATAGCAACTTACCATTGGTTAGGTACGAGACTGGTCTCCCAGATTTTGTTGTAAAGCGTCAACATGGTTTCCTTGGCTGTTGGTCCCATTCTAATTAGAAATTCCGGATGAATACCGTCTTCGCCAGGAGACTTCTTGCACTTTAGCTGTTTTATCGCAGCATTAAGTTCGCAAGGTCGGAATGGTTCAGTAAGTACGTTATTTGGTGTTGTCGTGTCTTCCTTAATTTCACCAAACTGTCTTACTTGTATCTTTAAATCTCTTGAAGATTTTCTGACAAAAGGGTTTTTCTTTTGCTTGTGGGAATAGAACCTCGCAAAGTAGTTCTCTATTTCGGTGTCGGTGGTAAGCAATTTGCTGTTTAAGCGTATTGGTTCTTTCTTGGGTTTTTCTCTGTTGTTTTGGAGATTTCTCAGAAATTTGAAAGTGCGTTGGCTATCACTTTGATAGTTGATATTTGAGATGAACTTGTCGAAGGAAGTCCGTTTAGATTGTAAGATGGCTTGCCTTCACGACTCTGCCATTTAAACTCACTTCACGACTCTGCTGCATTATAGAATCATATTACACTGACCTCTGTCCATACTCCCAAAAAATTCTTGTTCCCACAAGCTGTTACCTCAGAAATGTCAAATAACGTTTTTTTTACTAAAATGGCATCATTCCTTCGAAATGATAGGCACTAAAATCATTTCTCACAAAGTATTCAGAAACGCCACTTTTTAACCCATATTACCTAACTAATCGGCCAAAAGTACCAATTTTAAGCGAAAGTGCACTTTTAAAAGAGGATAGCATCAGCAATGATTTTTTTGAAAAAAATAATGCATGAATGAGTGATTTAAAGTAGACACAATATCGTCATCGATGTGAATTCAGAACCCAGGCCATGTGTGGATAAATAAACCCCCTTATATCGCTGATGATAATCTTAAGGCAAAAAATATGATACAAGTAGCCTTGACGGGTGAAAAGGAGACGCCAGTAATAGGTGGAGCCGACTTCAAGATGTGGGAAAGAGGGTTCATTGAGTTACGGTAGGAAAGTGCCGAACAACTGTTAGTAAGGATGGAAGTGTGAGTCAATAGGCACGCACCACATGGAGGAACTATGGCGGCCTGTGAATTAGAAAGCGTAATTGCTAGGGCTTAAAGGATTGGCCTAAAGTAACATATCCTATTCACTATTGAAATTTTGGTTTTAGTCAATTAAGTACAAATTGTCGTTCAATTAGTATCATTGAACAAAGGAGCCCCACTCATTGCATCTTCTTGGCCTCTGAATAAAAGAGCATTGAATATAGATCAAAGACCAATCATCTTAACCACTCTAGTTGATCGCAGTTAACACTGCGATTGGGGGGAAGAGGGAGTGAGAGAAGCTGCCAGATGATCATAATATCTGAGCAATGTTAGTAGCGCTCTAATCGATAAATACTAAGTCTGTAAGAAAATTTTGACAAAAGTGGCATTATTATTTTTGAGAACCACCGATCGGCAACAGAGATAATGACACATTTAGTTAGAATATCTTATTACAGTTAAGGAAACTAGTGGGAAACAGTAGCCTCACAGTTGTAGAGGGTCGGTGAAAATGAACAGGCTTATTTGGTGGCATCTTCTAGGGTGAATTGCTGGGGGGGGGGGGAGGAACATTATTTTCGAACATTTATTTGTTTGTATCAATTGGCAGACGTTTTGATAGTTACCAATAGGCCTTTATTTGACTTCTGGCTTCACAGGGGGAGGAACAGACAAAGTCACAAAAAGTCGAGGAGGGGGGGGGAATAGAAGAGTGATTCACAGATGTAAAAGAGACAGACACAAAGGTGGAGAAAATGTGAGGTGAATTCTGTGGAAGTGGTCGAATATATGTTACAGTTAGGTCATAGTAGCTTAAAGTTAACTGCCGATTTACTGGTCTTTTTTGGCGTATTAATCCGCTTATTGTGTACTTAAAATGTTGCCTGACTATCGGAATTAGTTCCAACGTGGAAATTATTTATTTCACTTAGCCCAAAGAGTCATTGCTCTCGTTCAAACATTCGGTGACTAAACGAACGCTTTTCTGCATCCTCCAACCAGCGTGTTGGTGTTAAATCTCTCTTCATCCCCCTTTCGCACAATTTATCTGGAATAACGAATCGCCTTCCTCCGAATTCGTCATACGTTCTTGCATAAAATTTATTTTTATTTCAAATGGCAGGCATTTTGATAATTATCATTATCCCTTTAGTTGACTTCGGGCTTCACAGAGGGGAGGAACATTAAAGTGAGAAGAATTCGACAGGGGAAAAGAAGAGCGATTCACAGATGTAACAGACTGACAGACAGACACAAGGCAGAGAAAAGGCTAGATGAGTACTGTGAAGGGGTCGAACATGACATACAGTGGGGTCATGGTAGTTTGAAGTCAGAGGTCAACTGCCAGTTAATAGACTTTTTTGCCGTATGAGTATACGTTGCCCAGGGTGCACTACGTGGAGGTAAGTCTATCGCACACCCCTTCTTGCATAAAATAAAGTGATAGATTTGCCAATAGTTTCGCTTTCGTGACGCCTATCAAGACGAAAATGTGGCTATGAGACAAAATTAATCGATAGACTTTTGCTTTCCTTCCCGTGTATTGTGTAATGCGCTCGTGAGGTAATAGGCGTTACGACACATTTGCAAATGGGTTCGAATTTAAATGAAATACATTTTGGCCAGAACTCGTGCTTCCCATCCTCCTACCTGGGTTGTCAGCGTGGAGGTCGTGACAGTTGTTGAAGCAGTACTCGAAGCTCCGAGGTTTTTCAAGTGCCTTACGCTACCCAGCGTGCTTGATAAAGACTGGTTGGCCTATTGCTATGAGCTCTCCACTTTTTGAGCACCCCAAAGACACGCTATTCTTGAGTGGTCTTCGATGTCTTTTTTCGAATGGTGTTAACCATCGAATCAAGTGCTGGCAAATACTTGAATGATTTTGTTATGTAGTTACCCATTTACACACAAGAAGTAAGAATTAATAGAAGTCTGCGAAAAAGAATTTTGTGAATCGAATTTCTATTAGAGGTATTAAAACAGTCAAAATACGTCACGGGATGGTTTCATCCATACCACCCCCCACCCGCCACCCCCCAACCCAAAGTTCTATGATGACAGCCACTTCGATTGATTTCACTCCTGTGTAAGCCTCACATCTACGATTTGAGGTTAATGAGGTCATAAGAAAGCACTGTACCGATCTAAGCCAGAAATTGGAAATAAGAATGCCACACCATAAATTTTAAACCAACTGTCAATCCGGGTGACAGAACCAATAATGAACGCCCACGAGCGTGCTACCAAAACGAGTAGAAAGAAGGGGAGGTGGGGAGGTGGGGAGGTGGGGAGGGGGGGGGCGGGAAAGCAAGCAGCATCCTGAAATAATTCCCACGAGAGTCACTGAATCGAGAATGAAGGCCGACAACAAAGCAGATCTTCCATTGAAAACATTTGTGACTTCAACTCCCCATTCCTAAGAAAAAAACTCGAGCCATTGTTGTGAAGTATTTTGTCCAGATTTGGAAAGTGCCTTTTATCTTTTTTTATATTTTAATCTTAAAACACTCAAAAAAACTTTACTCAGCTAAAATAAATAGAACTGCCAATGCGATCATATGCGTAATTTTTTGTCCTGAACTTGAGGTAGGGTAGCTAATCCCGGAAGTCCGTCCAAACTGGAACCTGCCACGAAGATTGCTGTGCATTAGCCAAGGCTTAGCAGTGTAGCAATCCTCTACTTAAGTAACCATAAATTACATCAGATGGCAGGCGTCTTGATGGTTATCATTAGCCCTCTAGTCGACTTCAGGCTTCACAGAGAGAGAGAGAGGAGGAACATCAAAGTGAGAAAAAGTCGAGAGGGGAGGGGGGGGACAGAAGTGTTTCAAAGACAAAGATAGAAAAAGGCGAAGTGAGCAGTGAGTGAGTACTGTGAAAATGATCGAATATGACATGGAGTCAGCGAGTACTGTGGAAGTAGTCGAATATGACATACAGTGAGGTGATGGTAGTTTGAAGTCAGAAGTCAACTGCCGATTAATAGCCTATTTTGCCGTATGAGTATACATTGCCCAGGGGGCACCACGTGGAGGTAAGTCTAGCGCACACCCCAGTAACCATAAATTGATTACGTGACGCGCTTCCCCAGTGCAAATCGGTTAATTTACAACCTTATGGAACTTATTTCCAGGTTTTGTTTGAAGGTGCCTCAGTTCCCAATTCTATTCGTTACCATCCAATGGTATGCGATTCATTTACCAAAGTATTTTGGTTTGGACCCAATTATCTTCCATTCCTTTTAAATTGACGAAATGGATAAGTACCTACTGTTCCACAAGGACCTTTAGTGTCAGTAAACAATTAATTAAGAGATGCAAAATAAATTCAAACCAATTGATGAATATATTTTAAGCGCCTGATCATACATTATTCATAATTTTTTTGAGGAATGTTAAAATCTAATTACTTTTATTATTCAAAACGCTTATGAGCCTTCTAAAGCACATCTAAAATGTGCGTCCGACTACAACCCGTTAGGGTATAGCTTTTCGAATATTGACTTAAAAGGTCACCCCTATACTCACCATCGGATTAAAACAGCCTAAAGTGCTGATTATTACCACTCAGGGCACGATTGTTTTAAGTTTTCGCAGTCAAGAGAGTGTAGTTCTCAACAATCATTCATTAGCATTATTTCATGACCCAAACCATAAAATTTGCCTTCCTCTTGCCACCAAATATCAATAACATCGTCATCCTACTCAAATTATATGGGCTACCTTCTTATCACTCTGAAGATTCGGAAATTTTGAAAGAAAAGCGTAATTATTATTGAGGCGATAATGATAAGTTTGTACAGGTCTCTTGAACATGATTTAGTTCACGATATCATCTTGGTCCTTTACGGCCCTTTTGAAGTACTCGCAAGGGACCCTTTCGGCTTTTGTCACTGAACGACGAAGATGGTTCGGATATGGAACACGATTCTTCACCCACACCATTGTCAACCTGAAAAATCGGCACTACTATTAATAATTCAGTAACTAACCTCCATTTTCTCAACGACCTGACAGGCGTTGTTATTTGTATTACCAGATTCGGCGGGTTTGGAAGCCAAATATTCAGCTTTTAAAGCTGATGCGGCGTTCAAATTATCGGCTAAATCTTTCAAAGATTTATTAACTCGATTGCACCAAGAATTCAGATCGTACTTCACTTTCGGAAGCTAGGATAAAAGGGGATTCGGGAAAAAGTTTAAAAGACAAAATTCATATTCACGAAGCATTATCTTACATCTTCCCGTCTGAAGTCCCGACCAATGGCTGATTCAATTAGGAGAAGTCGCTTTTGTTGATTAAGTTTGCCAATAAGTGCATTTGCATAAATTAGCTCGATGATAAGGTCTTCTAATTCCCTAAGTGAAGTAAGTTCGAGGCTCTTCAGTAGATCGTCATAGGAGATGCTATGGCGATATTCACATACAGTAAGGATCGTTAGAAGACGAAGTTTGCGAATTTGAAGGTCTGAAAGGGGAGGAATGGGAGCACCTTTGTGGTCTCCGTAAACTCCATAGCAGAAGAGATTAAGTAAATTGATTAGCTCTGAGTTTGAAGGCAAGGCTTTAATGGAGTCTAGATCGTGTAATTCAGCGAAGGTGAACACGTCTTAAAATTAGATAGGGAAAGGATAAATAAGAAACTGCGAAAAGTGCAATGAATTTAAAAAAGCCACTCTAAAATTATTAAAATTCTAAAAAAAGAAGAGCAAATAGAATTTATATAAAAAATAACAATAGTACGTTAGCTTCAAATATTCTTGTTCTGTTTAAGTCAAATGTATGTTGGAACAAATGCGATGAATAGAGAATTGTCAAATAAAGCACAACAGTCATACAATTAATGGAGTCTTAATAATGCGGAATATAGAAAATACTTCGAGAATCTTACTTGGTGCTTCTGTGGCTTTTCTTATAATTTCTTCAGGGATCGCAATTGACGCCATCTCAAAGAAGACACAGTACAACTTATTAGCACTGACCCTATGAAAGCAAGGTCATTAGAGTGAATGCCAATTAAATGCAACGTAAAGTTAATGATATAAATTCTTTTCATTAACTAAAAAGTTGAATACAAGTTTATTTTATAAGTACTAAACAGAATGCCTATATTGGACTTGAAGAAAACCGTTTTGAAAATAGGCTAGTATCAATATTTAATGCCTTCCTTATAACACATTACTTTATTAAAGAATGTTTTAAAACACATCCGGGTTCGTTAAATATATTTATAAAAATTCACGAACTTCTGCTCAACTTGATTTCAAACTGAGTGGTCGGTCTTGACTTTATAAATGCGGCCTACCAGAGTCATGTTTCTTTATTACCTGCTTTGATAATTGAGGTCTTTTGTGTTGCATAAAGCTTGTTGGGAGCTTAATATAATTTGCCCGTATCCGGGTGTTCCCGCCAATATCTCGGGGAAATTATGATCTTTTCAAAGTATCTTTTGTCTGATATTTTACATGGACAATATTCGTTTCCAGGTGAAGTACGTAACCGGATGCAAAATTTCTCGATTATAGCGCAATTTGTTCGTAGAAAGAACACTATAGTTAATTGATTTAGCTAATACATCGGGAATATTGTCAAAAGAGGGCACAATTTTCAAATTCTTGATAAGCCCAGCACAGAACTAAAATGTCGAAACTCAGTCTGATATCATATCATGCAAATATAAAGGACGAATCAGCCTCTTCAACCTGATCGATACTACTGACGAAATTGATTTCACTTACGAAGTAATAACCTTCGCTAGTTCTACGAGTGGGCTACATCAAATCTCTTCCTCTATAAACTTTGTCTTTTCTCTTGTTCTCGAGGTCTTTCAAATTTTAAGCAAAACAGACATTTCCACGATAAGTTTAAAGAGAGTTTGGAAACAAAAGAAGCGCCATTTTGCACTAAACTACTTGACGTTCCCCTTGTATCTGCAAGTATATCTAGAAATTTTGAGAAAATCATGGCGATTTTGAGGTTTAATATTTATCAGTCGATTTTCTTCCGTAGTTTTTAGTTTGCTGTCCGAAAATTATGTAATTATTAATTCGGAACATAGTATTTTTCGATGAGTCGTTGTCACCCGTCTTCTCTGTGATGCAGTTGTTTGGAGAAATACTTTACACTAGTTATGTCTTGAACGACTCAGAAATCTCTCTATGGCAGTATCTCCTATATCTGAACTGACTAAGCTACAGCTAAGCAAGGGAGGAAAGATGCGTATTGCTCAGAACAGGTTTATTGCAAATTATGTGATCGGCAAAATATGAATAGTTATCAAACAAATCTAACATAATTTGAGTGAACATTAATAGCTAAAGATCTGAGCAGAGCTCTACGTGTACGAAGCACACTCCGAATCCTGGCGTGCGTGCGTGGGATGATATTTTACTTCTATAGGATTTGAATTTCTTTTTTATTTCTAAACGACCGAGCCTATAAAATGAAGCAAGTTGTCATATTTTTTCTCCAAATCAGAGACCTATCGAGGCATTTTAAGTATAAACCGTTGGATTATTTGGAGTAAATCTGCTTATAATTTGATAAAATGCACTATTTGCAGTATTTTTGCAAGTTATTTCAAAGAGCGAAAATAGATAAGCAGTGCATGTATATTGATATTCAAATACCTTTAAACCCGTCAGAATTCTTTTTTATAATTTGCAAAAATAATTCGAGACGTAAGAGGTATTTTGGATATGAGCCCACGAAGATTTCTGAATATGTGGAACATCAAAAGGACTCCAAGAGATATGAAATGGAAGAAGAGCTCAAGGGGTCATAAGTATTGTAATAGGAACATAGCATGACTTGCTTCGAATTCTGAAAGCATTGAGTTGTCCTCAATCACAAAGAAGCATAATTCTCTGCTAATTGCTTCGATCTATGGATTTGTCTCCCAGGGATACGGGAAGACCATATCCATAAAATTCAGGGCCTGTCGACTGGTTAGTTACGCCATCTCACTAAGGAAGCACTGTGGACAGAATTTTAATGACTCTTGAGTACTCTAAAGGAAAGATATTGCTAAAATTTTTGATTAGAAATTAATTTATATTTGCCCCCCCCCCCAAACCAGAACTGGCAATTTATATCTTTGTATGAGCATGAAATAGTCATTTTGTAACCCCTGACCTGGCAGTCATGTATGCCACAGAATTTTGCCTCTTAAATATCTCTGAAATTTTTTAATAAACGAAACGTAGGACAGTGATAGAAAGTGTTAGCGATGACTTTTATTGACGATTTCTACTTCTATTTTCGTAGACCAGACGTATTGGTTTTCGTCTCCTAGTAATTAAGGGGCTACTGGTGTGAGCAATTCTAAAAGTTCTTTTCATTTACTCTTATCTTTAATCACATATGGAGGACATGAGAGTTTCACCATAATGGACATTTTATTTCCTCTAAGAAGTTATAATTCTGAAAGCATGAAGTAGTAACCCTCCCCCCCTTAATGTGATTGCTTTGAGCCTTCATAGCCAATGGTCTCCGTTTAGGTTTCCCGGCCTATCAAAGCGGCGCTAAACAGAACCCGCAATCAGCTCTTAAAAAATCTTGTCTTAATTGCCCAAGTGGTCATGGAGGTCAGAGAATCAGCCGGTTTTTGTTTTTTTAGGAACTAAGGTTATATTATTCACTGCTTGCAGACAAGCGTTAAATGTTGGTTGTTGGTTCGATATTTTCCAACAAAAGCTAGAGTGTGAATCGAAGTCCATGCTATGCTCGATTTAATGAGCCATTTAAAAAATATTTATATATACTTTCTACTTAAATATTTTAGTAGCGTATAATTATAAAACTGTGATTGAATTTTTTTGCCTATATAAGGCCATCACAACAGAATATGCCTTGCCGGCTGACCAAATCTAAAAAGGTAATGTCTATTCGTTCTCTGATGGTACCGAGTATTTAGTACAAGCTATAAATATGACTATGATTCTTAGCCCGTACTCTGAAACACTACATAGGTTAATGCTTTTATTCATTTGCAGCATTATATATTATTAAATAAGGTGTGCGCGATAGACTTACCTCCACGTGGTGCACCCTGGGCAACGTATACTCATACGGTAAAAATATCTATCAATCGGTAGTTGAGTTCTGACTTCAAACTACCCTCACCCCATTGTATGTCATATTCGACAACTTTCACAGTACTCACCTCACCTTTTTCCTTTTTGAAACGCTCTTCTATTCCTACCCCCTTCTCGACTTTTTTCACTTTGATGTTCAATCCCCTCTGTGATGCCTGAAGTCAACTAAAGGGCTAATGATAACTACCAAAACGCCTGCCATTTGATATAAATAAATATATTATTAAACAATATTAGACCAGGCTTATAAATTGTTTCCTTCTAATATGCAGCCCCACATTTTGATGTAGGAACATTTCTGAATTTATTGATAGCTTTCAACGACCCATAAATTTCAATTCAAACAGTTTTAAAATGAAACAGAATTTGCCAATACTCCGTATTTTAGGCACTAAGCTTTCACATTCTGCTCTACTTTTCCAAAATCATATGCACTCTAACAGTCCAAAGAAATTGCTGTTTGTTTTTTAGTATTACCAGTCTGAATCCTTGCACAGAAGTTGGACTTCCAATAATTCGTGATTGTATAACTGCTGGAGAAGATTTAGCCCTCCCCCCCCCCCCCCCCCCACCGTAAAAGACCTAGTTCCAGGAGTAATCGATACCCATTTTATATATCCCCAAGCCACAGAAACCCCAATATTTTAATTTCAATGATAAAATTGTAAGATTTAACAAACAAATGATCAGGTGGAAATAGGATATTTTGTACTAGCTAAATAGAGCATAATTTGTAAGCATGTAGTTGCGCACTGGTGGTGTGTTTTGCGCTGATGTCACATGATAACAACCCGTTTCACATAAATCTGAACCAGCTCGAAATATCGATCGATAGCATCTGTGGTGAATAATGTTTTGTAGGGCCCATTTAACTTCGATTTCGAATATTTTTCATAATTTCAGATCAGTTATAAAGCTTGTGCTCTAATTCGAAAGACGAAACCTGATTAATATGCCATACTCAACCCTTTAAAAACAGAGGGTTACACACTATTTTCTTTGTTTGGAAATCAGCAAATCGGTCAAGATTCACCCTTTGTAGTAAATGCTGCCTCTTACCTATTTAAGTAAAACACCTTTACGTTTTCCCCTCTTTCAAGGGTTGACTTTGTCTTCACTTTTTGTCTTTTTGGAGAAAGTTGGGCGTGGAGGCGGGGGGGGGGAAGGGGGGAGTAACGTCCAATAGTTCGATAACTTTTGGGTGGTTGCTTATGAGGCTGTTTTTCTCTTGTCTCCCACTCAACTATTTAAATGTCGTAAAGGTGTTAAAAGCCATGGCAGTATAAAAAAATTTAAAACTTTTTCTTACTTTAGCTAGGTAGGTGGAATCGGGTGGCTGCATGAAAAAGGGGGGGGGGGGGGTTGAGGCATCGAAAATATGCTGGTGGTGAGGTCAGGCTACCAAAGTCTTGCGTCCTATAGCTCTTTTTATGCTTGGACAGCAAACTACCCACTTAATGAGTAGGCAACAATCCAAAATTCCACTTTCATTCCATTCATTGGCCAATTCCTCCACAATATTTATTTCAAATGGCGGGCATCGTGATACTTGTCATTAGCCCTTTAGCTGACTTCGGGCTTCACAGAGAAGAATATCAAAGTGAGAAAAAGTGGAGAGGGGGAAGAGAAGAGTGATTCACAGATGTAAAAGAGGCAGACAGACACAAGGGCAGAGAAAAGGTAAGAGGAGAACTGTGGAAGGGGTCGAATATGACACAGCGTCGGGTCATCGTAATTTGAAGTCAGAAGTCAATTGCCGGTTAATAGACTTTTTTTGCCGTATGTGTATACGTTGCCCAGGGTGCACCACGTGGAGGCAAGTCTATCGCACCCCCCCCCCCCCCCCCCCC